ATATATGACAAAAGTTGAATCATAATTGCTACTTTTGAATCTGTAAAAAGTAAATGTACATTTGCATATACAAATTTTAATGTTATAATAATAAATAATAATAATTTAATTTTACCTTCAGAAATATTTAACTTTAGTTTTTCCATTAATTCAGTAAAATCATCATTTTTTCCAATACTTGATGTCGATTGTTTAATGATATTGAAAAACTCAGTCCATGTTTTTATAGACAAAGTAAAATGTGATAACTGCATTGTATCAAAATCATACTTAATAAGCTTATATCTATTTGGATGTTTAAAAAGTGGCCATTTTTCAAATATATTATTTAACGTTTTATCAAATGAGTTTTTTAATTCTGCATGTCGATATTCAAATGTTATAGACCATTTTTGTAAAACAGTTTCCCAAGGTGCTTGGTTAACATTTAACCAATCTACATTTTGTTTCACATTGTCATCGACTGAAAATACTTTTATTTATCTAAACTTTGTTTGCGAAAAAGAGTTTTACTTTTCAAATTACCTACCATTGTCGACAAAGTCTACATCATCATCAACAGTTTCTTGTATTTTGTATTTTGATGCTTTTCGCAGTTGTGATGCCTGATATCTTCTATTACGCCAACAAGACCAAAGTTTACCTTTTGCAGGTTGTGATTTCTTATATATATATATATCTTTAGTATCAATCTTCTTTTTTCCTTTTATAAAATATGTACCTTTAGCTTCTGAAGGAAATGTCTTGACAATTCTTTCTGCAATGTCTTCAGCTATTTCATTAGTTAAGCTAAAAAATTTAGTTATAAAATATTGGAAAACTCAACTATATTCAAATATATAATATATAATATATATTAAATATGTAATGTATAAGTAGAATATTTATAATTTATAATAATATGAACATATAATAATCTGAGACATACAATATTATTATCTTCTATATATCCGATTATTATGTTACATAATTTATTTCTCATAGATCCACTGAGTTCTTTATTTGTTTTTAAAGCTTGTAAAATTATTTTGCCCACTTTAGATCGTTGCAATAAATCAGTAATAGTTGGCATTGCATCTAATATAAACATGTCTCTAGTACCAAAAGCATTTTGTCTAAATATTTTTATTTCTTTTATGTCATTAGTTTTTAAGCACCGACTTGTTTCTATTGTCGTATGATCTGATATATTTTCATTATTCATATTTTTATTATTTTCTATCTAAAATGTTTAAAAGATAATTATTACGTATTATTAAAAATAATTTAATAGACTCGAACAAAAGAATAAGTTATTTATTAACATTAAAAGATGAAACTCACATTAGTTTTTTCAGAAGAATCTGCTTGCATTTGACTTTCTTTCATGTTAGTTTCTTTGAAATTCTGTTTATGATGAGACATAAATATTATACGTGGACCTACTTCTGGAATTAGTTCAGCAATTAATTTTTCATCTAAGAATTTCATAACGTCCATCGTGATTTTATTTTTTTCAAAGAAAAAGGAATTTATATATTTATATAAATTTAAAAAATAAATAAGATTTATTTAGATTATATAAATGATGTAAGCAAAAAGTACTTTGTTTTAATTTAAGATAAACAGAAGATATCATGATAAAATGTTTCCAGACATGATAAATAAATCAATTTACTTACTTTGAAAAATGTCAACATAAGCACCTAAGCTCAAATCTATCAAAATATCTTTCACTTCCATCTTTAGATCAAATATTACTTCTTGGTGAAAAAGAATAAAAACTGTCTTATTCTTTTTTGAAGACGTATTCTCACAATCACAGTATGTAACGTATCAACCAGCGTATGTCAATTGTTTAACGGTCTTGTCTCTGCTTGTAAGTAGCAGAGGTGCCAACTAAAAACAAAAGAGAGAGTTACTGCGCGCGCATGACTATATGGCTGCGTTCCGATATTTATTGGCAGTACTAAAACTCAACACTTCACGTACATGTGCTATAGATTTCCAGTACTGGCAGTAAATATCGGAACGCGGCCTATGTAACTTGGCGCGAAGCACTTTATTGTTCCCTCTTGATACGCATAATCCATCATTATTTGATGATCGTGCATACGACAAGATTTCACTATAATTATATTTTATAATATAACTACAAAAAATTATATAATATAGGTATTAAAATATTACAGTTTATGTAAATGTAGTAATATATATAATAATTAAAAAGTTCTTCATGCAAAGAACATAGCGTTTTTGAATATTATTAATAATTAATTTAAAATTGAAAAACAAAATATCTTACAAAGATTTACGCTCGTGAAATTGTCAACAGAAATATGTAAGGCCGATACGAGCC